ACAGGGCCCCAGGATGTGGTGGCACCCGGCTCTGAAACTCAGCGTGTTAACCCAAGTAAGCAGAATGTCAGCCCCTGAGAACCAAGATGCGGTTTTTCTTAGAATAGCGCCCAGCTCCCTGCAAACCCTCTCTGTAACCCCCAGGGTCTGTAAGCCAGGCTGCTGCCTTCACTGCCTGTGCGGAGACAGCCTGGCAGGGTAAAATAAACTTGCTAACGCTGACCCTGGGTCTGTCTCTCCATCCCTTGGGTCAGCCTTACACAGTCCACCCCAGGAATCCCTTCCCTGCTTGCACCCTGGAGAGAACAGCGTGGCTCCCATCAACTCAACACTGGTGCAAAGACGGGGACCAACCCTGGCTCAGGCGCAGTCAGTGCCTCCTCAGCACTCCTGGGTGGCCCTAGTTCCAGAGTGAGGGGTGGGTGGAACCTGGGGCCACCTCGTTCACCCTGTCCTCACTCCCCGCAGATAGAGGATCTAAATGATTGTTTCTAGAACTATGTTTTCTAGACTATTCCACATTAGAATCACTGGGAAATTCACATTTGGAGATCCCACACCTCACCCTGAATCCTCACTCAGGGTGGGGTCAGGAAACGCATTTTGACTAGTTGGGGGGGATTATGGGGGCCAGCCGCTGGCTGTCTCGTGGCATTTCTGTGGCTCTGCGGTGTTCCCCCACCCCAGGACCAATCTCTTCATACCTTCTCTGCAGAGCCACACTGACAGCCTGACCTCCATGGGCAGAGTCGCTAAGGGGCCACTTCCTAGGTTGCCATCCAGCTTCAGTGGCCCCACAGTGCTTCCTGGAGCCAAGGCTGTGGGCAGCCACCGGGAAGGGTTGAGGATGGGCAGGAGGCTTTGGTCAGTTACCTGGGAATTCTGGGTAGCTAGGAAACGATTTGGGCCTCTGTCAGTTTCCTTCCCATGTATGAGGAGGTGGAAACTTTTATTTTAGAAGCTTATTCATCCCACTCAGGACAGTAAAAATGAATAGACAGAAGGCCCTTCCATTCTTCTGAGCATTGATGGACCTGGGGAGAAGTGTGGTGGTGGGAACTGAACCAACCTGAATCTCCTCGCTTTGCAGAAGGAATCCAGGGTTGCTGGGGAGTCTAAAAAAGGAAGAGTGGGGGAGGGCTCGGTGACTCACATCTGTAACCGCAGCATTTTGGGAGGCTGAGGCAGGTGGATCGTTTGAGGTCAGGCATTCGAGACCAGCCTGGCCAACGTGGTGAAACCCTGTCTCCACTAAAAATAGAAAACAGTTAGCTGGGTGTGGTGGTGCACGTCTGCAATTCCAGCTACTAAGGAGGCTGAGGCAGAAGAATCAAGAATCACTTGAACCCAGGAGAGGGAGGTTGCAGTGAGCCAAGATGGCACCATTGTACTTCCCCCTGGGCCACAGAGGAGACTCCGTCACCAAATAAATAAATAAATAAATAAATACAAACAAGAAGAAGAAAAAGGGGAAAGAAAAGTGGGAGGAGGAAGCAGAGAGGAACCCAAAAGTTGGTTCTGGGGCATGCGGAGGAGGGATGGTCACTGTGGAACTAGGGTGCTGGCTGCGTGGAGACGTCCACAGCCGTTAACATTTTAAGTCTGCTGCACAAAAATGTCATGTCGAAGTGATTACTTTTATTTTTTAAGTATTATTTAAAAATCGTATGGTCTCGTAATCAAAATTGTGCTTCAAAGGACATCATTCAGAAAGTTGGGAAGAGGCAGGGCGCAGTGGTTCACGCCTATGATCCCAACAATTAGAGAGGCCAAACTGGGAGGACCGCTTGAGCCCAAGAGCAAGACCAGCCTAGGCAACACAGTGAGACACTGTCTCTACAAAAAATTCAAAAAATTAGTCGTGCATGGTGGTGGCACACATCTGTAGTCCCAGATCCTGGGAAGGCTGAGCGAAGAGAATCGCTTGAGGCAGAGAAGTCTCGGCAGCACTGAGCTGTGATCACACCACTGCACTCCACCCTGAGCAACAGATCTGTCTCAAAAAATAAAAATTAAAAAAATTGGCCTGGCACGGTGGCTCACGCCTGTAATCCCAGCACTTTGGGAGGCTGAGGCAGGTGGATCACAAGGTCAAGAGATCGAGACCATCCTGGTCAACATGGTGAAACCCCTTCTCTACTAAAAATACAAAAAATTAGCTGGGCGTGGTGGTGCGCGCCTGTCATCCCAGCTACTCAGGAGGTTGAGGCAGGAGAATTGCCTGAACCCAGGAGGCAGAGGTTGCGGTGAGCCGAGATCGCGCCATTGCACTCCAGCCTGGGTAACAAGAGCGAAACGCCATCTCAAAAAAAAAAAAAAAAGACACAGGGAATAACAGACGTTGCTGCGGATGTGGAGGAAGCAGACCCTCGTATACTGCTGCTGGGAATGTAAAATGACACAGACACTGAGAAGTAGTCTGCTGTTCCTCAAAAGGTTAAAAACACGTTTCCCACGTAACCCAGCGATTCTTCTCCTTCATACACATCCAAGAGAGCTGAAAACACACGTGTCACAGAAACTTGTACGTGAATGTTCCCAGCAGCATTATATTTGGAATAGCCAAAAGGTGGAAACAGCCCAAATGTCCTTAGAGGAATGAATGGAGAAACCAAAATGTGGTCTGTCCATGCAGTAGAATATTATGCAGCCAGAAAAGGGCACGAAGGACTGTCCGTGTTACCACACACACGAACCTCAAGAACGTTAGGCTCAGTGAAAGAGGCTGGACACAGAAGATCACCTAGTATGTAATTATACTTATATGAAACGTCTGAGAGAGATGCATCTATTGAGACCAAAAGTAGATGAGCCTAGGCACGGTGGCTCACACCTGTAATTCCAGCACTTTGGGAGGCCAAGACGGGCAGATCACGAAGTCAGGAGATCGAGACTCCCTGATCAATGTTGGAAACAGATGCTTGGTGCCGCAAAGAAAAATCAGCACTGAGACAAAGGATCTTTCAGCAACATAATTTTTACTTCCTGGACTGCAGAAGGGAACCCTCGCTAGCCATCGGGCCATGAGAGTACAATGAACAAAGGAAAACACACACATTTATCCCTCACCCATTTGGGGTCGTCCTTACCGCTGTGTCTGATCTCCGTTGGCTGGAGCCAGACCTCACAATCTAAACTAAAACCCGATTGGCTAAAAACTTAAAACTTTCTAAACAGGTAAAAGCAGTGGAGAGCTGGGACAGGCCTGTGAGCACGTCCAGCACAGATATGTTGGCTAAAGTACAAGGAGAACGTCACAGATATGTTGGCTAAAGTACAAGGACATAGAATGTACTACGTGCCTGTAAGCATGGCGTGTCTAACAGCTACTTAGGAGAGGGCTGGACAAAGTTATTAGCACACCTGCTCTTTAACAAGAAAGGAAACTATTAAAAGCAACTTTTCTACTTCCTACAACCAACATGGTGAAACCCCATCTCCACTAAAAATACAAAAAATTATCTGGGCACGGTGGCGCGTGCCTGTGGTCCCAGCTACTCAGGAGGCTGAGGCAGGAGAATTGCCTGAACCCAGGAGGCGGAGGTTGCGGTGAGCCGAGATCGTGCCACTGCACTCCAGCCTGGGCAACAGAGCAAGACTCCATCTCAAAGAAGAAAAAAAAAAAAGGAAGTAGACGAGTGGTCGTCCATGGAAATGAGCATCGGTGGTGGTGTCTCAGAGGGCAGAACTTCTCTCAGGCGCTGAACACGTTTAGCGGGTGCTGGTGAGGCTCACGCCATTCCCTGCTTTGAATCGCACAGCTTAACGAGTACATTGCCTTGCCTGTGAATTACGTCACATGAAGCTATAAAAACAGGGAACAGTCTGGATGGATGACTTTGGATGGTGGCCTTTGTGAGTCACGGAGGGGCTAGGGTTGCCGGGCGAGTGAGTCTCTAGGAGCTGAAGCCTAGAGCAAGACTTGTAGCTGGTGCGGGAGTGGCTTCCTTCTCTTTCCCACTCTACAGTTCAGAGATGGCTCAGGGAAGATCTGCGCTTCCTAACTGTGGAGAGGGGGCTGCACGCAGTGGAACGGACTCCCAAGTGGCAGGCAGGTGACAACCAGTGTCTAGTCCACCCGAGTGAAGATTTCACCAGGAAAGCGTGGTTTCTAGGTTCTGTCTCTCCGGGTCTCCTCGGAGAATGTAATGGGACACATTGTGTCCAAGCTGAAGTCCTCACCCCAGGACCTCAGAATGTGCTCTTATTTGGAAACAGGGTCATTATGGAGGTGATGAAGTGACAATGAGGATACTGGGGTGGAACCGACTTCAATGTGACTGCTGTCCTTATGAAAAGGGGAAGTGTGGACAGTCATAGCCAGAAAGAACGCGATGGAGATGAAGGTGGCCACGTACAAGGGCGGGAGAGAGGCAGGATCCCAGCTCCACGGCCTCGGAAGGACGCAGCGCTGCCCACCCTGACCCTGGACTTCCAGCCTGCAGACTGTGCGAGAAGAGATGTCTGCAGTCAGGGATGCTTGTTGTGCTGCTGCCTCAGGGCAGCCCCAGAAGCCATCCCGAGGTCAAGGCTGTGGTTGTGCTCAGCTGGGGGGCTTGGCCACCAGGCTGGGGCATGAGGAGGAGGTGGGAGGCCCAGCCAGGCTGGTGGGTCAGAATCCGGGGGGCTAGAGAAGCCGGCAGGGGAGCCTCAGGATTGCTGGAACCAGTGACCTTCTGCCCCCGCCGGCCTTGCCTCGGCCCAGAAGGCGTCAGGAGAGCCTGGCCAGCCAAGCTCAGACTGTCAGCAGGATGCCTCTCACCCTGCAGAGGGTCCTATCTTGTCCCACAGGTAGATCTACACCACCACTAGCCGCCCCTCCAACTTGCACAGGCCCCCGCCCTCCAGGGCCTCCTTTTCGGTCTGGCGGGTCCTGCCTCCTCCTCACCCAGAAGCTTCTCTGGCCCTCTGGAGTCCGGGCACACCTTATGCAAGAACAATGTCCACATTCCTTTGTCCTTGGACTCCACTTGGCTGAGGTCTCCTCCCTGGGCTCTGGGAGTTTCCCCAGCCTGCTTTCCCAAGTCTGGACTTTCCCTCTGGCCCTCCCCCTCTCGGGCTGGCAGGGTGGGGGAAGCAGCCTCTTCCTGGGCTCAGAGAATCCCACCCCAGCTCAGAAGGTGCAGGACCGCAGCCCGGGACGGACCTCATCCCTCCTAGGGACTCCAGACCACTGTCTCTCTCAGGTAAGTCTCTATCTCTGTCTGTCTCTGTCTCTGTCTCTTTTTCAGCCACTCAGCCCGGCCTCCTGCCCTGGGAGTGGCTCCACCCATTACGCCCCTTCCACCAATAAAACCAGCTGAGTTTGTGCTAGGCTGGGTAGAGGAGGCAACTGTCTCAGTGGTGCTGGGTCATCCCGGGTGGGGAGTTGGGGTCTCTGAATGTGAGAGCCCTCTGGGGAGGAGAGTGCTTCTCTGAGACACTTTTCCTCACACCTGTCACTCACCAGCAGGTCCTGGCTCCTGGAACTCTTGGCCACCATGGTTTCCGAGGTGAGCAAGAGGCTGCGTGTGCTTTTGTGGACTTGTCTGAAAAAACCCCGTAAGGTCGCGTGTGCGCTAAGAATTTCTCTAGCTGCCTGTGTGTGTGAGGCTCAGTCAGGGGCGCCGAGTGACAGGACAGTGACGGACGAAGGTACCGTTGGAGGTGCTGGAGGGTGTGTGTGTCAGGGGTGCTGGAGAAGGGCAGGGGTGCCGATGAGAGAAAGCACCAGGCCCAGGAACCCCTCACAGCCCAGAGAGCCCGGGCCAGGGGCGGGCAGCGCTCTCCTAGAAACCGCTCAGAGAATGCTCCTCTCGGGAGCTGGCTCAGCTGGGCAGGCCTGAGAGCAGGGCCCAGATCTGGGCCTGGATGTGTTTTCCTCTTTTCCTGGGTTCCTTCCCACTTCCTGTCCTCTACCCCTGCCCCACCCCAAATGCGAGACCCACCAGACCCTCCAGGGAGCTCTGTGGCCCGTGACAATGGAGTTTTCCAGGTTGTGGCCTGGCCCAGGTTCAAGACAGGGACCCAAAGGACATGTGGCTCCCACAGGCCGGCACGTGGCTGCTTTTGCCCTGTGTCATGGGAAGTGGACCATTGCTGCCTCCAAGTGTGCAGACATCTGCCCTGCCCAGAACACCTCCCAGGCCCTGCTCAATCTGTGGTGACACTCACCACTCTGCGGTGGGGGAAGCCAGGCATGTCACCCCCAGACTAGGGCCTTAACATGGGGTCTTAGCGGGGAGTCTGTGGGGTACCTCCTGCCTCTGTGGGTGCAGCCACATGTCTGCAGACAGGAATGGCCCGGGCACTGTGGGCACAGGTTGGCAGTTGGTTATAGGGTGGACCTACCTGGCACTCCTGAATCTTAATCAGCTCCTCAGAGAGGGACGGCCACTGTGGCCTCCCTGAAAGTTCTTCCTTGGCCACCTCTCACCTGGGACCACAGTGGCTGTGGGAATCCCAGCTGAGCCAGCCTGCTCCAGGGCAGCGTCCATGCCCCCGTGTGTGCATGGAAGACACCCCAGGGTCACACAGGTCCTGCTCTTGGAAGGAAGGGTCACCCAGGCCTATGCGGGCCTGCCCTTGGGCCTGCCCAGCTGAGCTGGCTCCTGAGAGGAGCATTCTCTGAGCAGTTCCAGGAGAGCCCTGCCTGCCCCTGCCCTGGGCTCTCTGGGCTGTGAGGGGCTGCTGGGAGTGGTGTCTCCTCTCATCCCACACCTCTGTCGTGAGTGTGTGTGTGTAACTTCTCTTGGGGGAAAGGGTAAGGTTACACATGGGCCTGAGTGTCACCATCATTTCTGCAGAGCCTGTCCGATGGCATGAAGAAACTGAATGCTCGAATGGTAATGCTTTTCCCCACGTCTGCTCAGGGCTGGGGGGTCTGGGTCTCAGCCTGCAACACTGAGGACACTGTGGGCCACCTGGGACCCAGGAGGGGCAAGGATCAGGTCCTTTGATGCCAGCTCTGCCTCTCTTCACAGCATCAGCTTGTGGACAAATTTACTGAAAAAATGGGAAACAAGGAATCGGAACCTGAAAAGGTGGGTGGATTTTCCCTCAATCGCCAGGTCAGGTGTCTCCGCCCTCAGGCTCTCCACACTGTGGGGTCTCAGGGTGAGAAGGATGAAGAGGGACCTTACCCTGGGCAAAGGCTTGCACCTGGGTGGCAGTGAGTGCACGGGTGGGGGATCTGGACCCCCAGGGAGTCTAAGGGAGGCCTCTGAGCCCCAGGGCTCCTTGAGGAAATGACAGGGTGGCAGATGTGGCCTGGGACCCTGCTGGACCCAGTCCAGGGCATGTGGGAGCTGAGGACTGACTGGTGTTGAGCACAGGGGACACTGGGCCTGGAACCATGTGCTTTGTTCCTTACAGGTGAAGTTGAGCCTGGATGATCTGGAGGTGAGCCGCCGCCTCCCCGTCCACCATGCTTAGTCCCTGGGTCTTAGGCTCCACAGGGTACTAAGTCTGGGCTCTGGGTCCCCTTGGGAATCAACCTGGAGCAGTAGGGGCCACAGTGGGGAGGGGGCGGCAGGAGCAGCCCAAGCACCCTGTGTCTTCCTCTCCCAGGACGACTTCAGAGAGTGCATGTTGGACACCGTGGTGGATTGCTATCAAGGACAGCACCTGGTGAGTGAGAGGCACCCATCTCTGCGCCTTACCTCCCTTCACCTTTGCCCTGTCTTTTTTTTGTTTTTTTGACACAGAGTCTCACACTGTCACCCAGGCTAGAGTGCAATGGAGCCATCTGGGCTCTCTGCAACCTCCCTCTCCCAGGTTCAAGTGATTCTCCTCCCTCAGGCTCCTCAGCAGCTGAGACTCTAGAAGTGCACCACCATGCCCGGCTAAATTTTATTTTCATTTCTAGTGCGGGCAGAGTTTCGCCATGTTGTCCTGGCTCATCTTGAACTCCCAACCTTTTGATCTGCCTGTCTTGTCCTCCCTTCATGCGTGAGCCACCACGCCTGGCAGACCCCTGCCCTGTCTTGATGTTGGTGTGGGCAGGGTGTGCCCAGCCCCGGAGCTGAGGGTGGAGGGCTGGGAGTGACAGCCGAGCTGGGAGCTGCCCCCACCCTCCTCCAGCACACAGTAGCAGAGCCCTGCCTTCGACTCAAGGCACAATGGGGGCCCTGGCCTGGTGACCAAGCAGACACAGCCACTGTGTCACTGCTGTGGAGGGGAGTGGAGAGGAGGGGACTCTGGGAAAAGTCCCTCCTGTCCATGGTGCTGTGGCTGAGAAACCAACACCTGTGGGCTTCCATCTCCCAGACTCAGGAAAAGGCTGGGAGGCCTGGGTGTGGCCAGGGCCTGGGGCCGACACCCCCACCTGCAGACCCTGAATGGTGCCCCCTTTCCACAGGAGCTCATTCCTCTACTTGAAAAAGAAAGAGATGAATTACGACTCAGAGGCAACAGACCCCCTGCTCTGGAAGCTGAGGACCCCGAAACCCAGGAGCCCGAGGAGAGCTTTTGTGACAAGGTGATGAGATGGTTCTGCGCCATGATGCAGCGGCTGCAGATGTGGTGGCAGAAGTTTGTGGCCTGGGTGAAGAAGGTGGTGGCGGCCCTGGTCGATGCAGCAAAGGCCTTCTGGAAAGAGCTTGAGCGTTTCTGCTGCTCTCTGGCAGAGCTCCTCAGGTCCCTTTTCAGTACTAAGGAAGCCCATAGAGGGGATTGAGGAGCTGACAGCCCAGAAGTGCTATGAACCCCAGTGAAGCTTCCAATGCCACTTTTGCCCTCCCCTTCACCTCGAACCCACCCTGACCCCTTCCTCAGCTCTGCTATGCCCTGCCCCCCTCCCACACACCCAAGCCCCTTGCCTGGCGTTGCTGCTGCAGCTCTGACCTGGCACTATCACGATGGTGTCATAATAAAACCTTAAACTTACCTGGCAGAGGAGATACTGTGATCGCAAGAGTGGTTTTCCCAGGACAAGGCTCATTCGTTGCTGTATTAGCCCATTTTCACACTGCTGTAAAGAATGTTCCACATGACTGGGGAGGCCTCGGGAAACTTACAGTCACGGGAGAAGGTGAAAGAAGGAAGTCACGTTCTGCGTGGCAGCAGGAGAAGCGGGGTGTTGGGAACTGCCAAACACCTTTTTTTGGGGGGGGATGGAGTGTTGCTGTTATCGCCCAGGCTGGTGTGCAATGGGGTGATCTTGGCTTACCGCAACCTCCGCCTCCCGGGCTCAAGTGATGCTCCTACCTCAGCCTGTGGAGTAGCTGAAAATTAGCCTGGCTGATTTTGTAGTTTTAGTACTGATGCGCCTTCACCATGCCGGTCAGGCTGCTGTGACCAACATCATGTCTCTGACTCCAGGTCTCACATCCAGGGCAGGCTGATGAAGGGGTGGTCCCCAGGGCTTCGGGCAGCTCCGCCCCTGTGGCTCTGCAGGGTCCAGTCCCTGCAACTGCTTTCAGGGGGCTGGTGTTGAGTGTCTGCGGCTTTTCCAGGCACACGGTACAAGCTCTTGGTGGATCTACCATTCTGGGGTCTGGAGGACAGTGGTCCCCTTCTCACAGCTGCAGTAGGCAGTGCCCCAGTGGGGACTCTGTGTGGGGGCTCCAACCCTGCATTTCCCCTCTGCATTGCCCTAGTAGCTGTTCTCCATGAGAGCCCCGCCCCTGCAGCCGACTTCTCCCTGATCGTACAGGCATTTCCCTACATCTGCTGAAATCTAGGCAGAGGCCCCCAAAGCTCAACTCTTGTCTTCTGCACACCTGCAGGCCCAACACCACGTGGAGGCTGCCAAGGCTTGGGACATGCACCTTCTGAAGCCACGGCCTGAACTGTACCTTGGCCCTCTTTAGCCGCAGCTGGAATGGAATGGCTGGGACACAGGCCGCCATGTCCCAAGGCTGCACAGAGCAGCAGGGTGCTGGGCCTAACTTGAATTTCTCTCCAGAAAATGGGTTTTTCTTTTCTACCATATGGTCAGGCTGCAAACTTTCCCATCTTTTACAGTCTGCTTCCCTTTTAAATGTAAGTTCTAATTCTAAACCATGTCTTTGTGAGTGCACGGAACCATGTGGTCTCAGGAAAAGACAGAGCACGTGTTGAATGCTTTGCTGCTTAGAAATTTCTACTGCTGGTAGAGAGCGCTGGCTCACGCCTGTAATCCCAGCACTTTGGGAGGTTGAGGCAGGTGGATCACCTGAGGTCAGGAGTTCAAGACCAGCCTCATCAACATGGAGAAACCATCTCTACTAACAATACAAAATTAGCTGGGCAAGGTGGTCCACGCCTGTAGTCTCAGCTACTTGGGAGGCTGAGCCAGGAGAATTGCTTGAACCCAGGAGGCAGAGATTGTCGTGAGCCAAGATCTTGCCATTGCACTCTAGCCTGGGCGACAGAGCAAAACTTCATCTCAAAACAAAAAACGAAAGAAAACAAAAATTAGCTAGGTGTGGTGGCACATACCTGCAATCCCAGCTACTCAGGAGGCTGAGGCAGGAGAATCATTCCACAGCACTCCAGCCCACCCCTGCCCTCCAAGAAAGAAATGTCTACTACAAGACAAGCTGAATCATCTCTCTCTCTTTTTTTTTTTAATTTTGAGACGGAGTTTCACTCTTGTTACCCAGGCTGGAGTGCAATGGTGTGATCTCGGCTCACGGCAACCTCCGCCTCCTGGGTTCAGGCAATTCTCCTGCCTCAGCCTCCTGAGTAGCTGGGATTACAGGCGCACGCCACCATGCCCAGCTAATTTTTTGTATTTTTAGTAGAGACGGGGTTTCACCATGTTGACCAGGATGGTCTTGATCTCTTGACCTCCTGATCCACCCGCCTTGGCCTCCCAAAGTGCTGGGATTACAGGCGTGAGCCACCGCGCCCGGCGCTGAATCATCTCTTTCAAGTTCAAAGTACCACAGGGCAGGGGCCACCAGTCTCTTTGCTCTAGCACAGCAAGTTCCTATCTCCATCTGATACCCCCTCAGCCTGGACGTCATTCTCCGTATCACCATCCGCATTTTGCTCAAAGCCATTCAACAAGTCTCTAGGAAGTTCCAAACTTTCCCACATCTTCCTGTCTTCTTCTGAGCCCTCCAAACTGCTCCAGCCTCTTCCTGTCACCCAGTTCCAAAGCTGCTTCCACATTTTCAGATGATCTTTACAGCAGTGCCCACTCCTGATATGAATTTTCTCTCTTGGTCCATTTTCACACTGCTATACAGAATACCTGAGACTGGGTAATTTATAAGGAAAAAAGGATTAATTGACTCACAGTTCCACAAAACTGGGGAGGCCTCAGGGAACTTCCAATCACGGTTGAAGGCGAAGGGAAAGCATGTCTTACACGGTGGCAGGAGAGAGAGAGAGAGAGAGAGAGAGAGGGAGAGAGACAGGGAAATGCCAAACATTTTAAAACATCAGATCTCATTAGAACTCACTCAGTTTCACCAGAACAGCACGGGGGAACCCGCCCCCATGATCCGGTCACCTCCTCCCTGGTCCCTCCCTTGACATGTGGGAATTACAGCTCCAGATGATATTTGGGTGGGACACGAAGCCAAACACTCCGGATGTGCCGACTCCCGTGACTTCCGCACGTGTGGGACACCTGACTGCATCCTCTGTGGTGGTGGGACTGCATTCATACTCTCCCCTGAAAGCAATACAGTGAAGCAATAGCTGCTCAGATGGAATCAGGTGCCGGCCTCCAGGCTTCTCTGACAGGCGGGCGCAGGGAGGTGGGGGGCCCGGTAGTGACAGCAAAGGATGTGGCTCCTATGGACGTACCCGGGTTGCAGATGTGGAGGAGCAAGGCCAGGCCCCTGCCTTTTTTTTTTTTTCTTTCCTTTTCTTTGAGACAGGGTTTTGCTCTTGTTGCCCAGGCTGGAGTGCAATGGCACAGTCTTGGCTCACCACAACCTCTGCCTCCTGGGTTCAAGCAATTCTCCTGCCTCAGCCTCCGGAAGAGCTGGGATTACAGGCGTGCACCACCACGCCCAGCTAATTTTTTGTGTTTTTAGTAGAGAAGGGGCTTCTTATGTTGGTCAGGCTGGTCTTGAACTCCTGCCCTCAGGTGATCCACCCGCCTTGGCCTTTCAAAGTGCTGAAATGATAAGTGTGAGCCATCACACCCAGCGGCCCCTCACTTCCTTATGGATAACGGTGCACAGGTCTCCATGCACTGGTGGGTTGGTTGAGGACTAGAAGATTTTAGCCTGGTGCTTCCTCGATCTCAGAGCTGGAAGCACAGAAGCGGCTCCCTGACCACCACCCCTGGGCCTTCAGCGCGAGGGGACTTTGGGGCCCCATTTTTCTTGTCATGGTTCCCTCTTCTGCCCTCATCCCTCTGGCAGGGCTGAGGCCACAAAATCCCCTTGGTTTTCTCCCAAGATCAGAGGCCCAAGGGGCTGGGGCAGAAGGGGACTCAGGAGCCCCCCACTGGGCCCTGGTTTCAGGGCAGAGGAAAGAAGGCAGGGGTCAGATCTCTGGGCCTGAGGCCTCACCAGCCTGCAGTTAGTTGCAGAGCCTGGAGCAGCCAGAATAAACGCCTGGGAGGGCACCTCTCACCATGTAGGAGGCCACGCTTTCCCAGTCCTGCAGAGGCTCCTCCACTGCCTGCCTCTGCTGACTCACAGAGACCAGCCTCTCCCACTCAGGGGAGGCTTGGCAACCACCAGCAGCTGCCGAGAGAAAGATGGGGCTGGGGGCCCTGGCCTAGCCTGTCCCGTCCCATCCTGGGGTTCCATGACTCTGGCCTTCGGTCTAAGCAGGAAGGAGGAGGGGGAAATGGGCTATGGCCTGGGGAGGAGCAAACACCCGCAGGGGAGGCTCCCTGAGCAGCTGTCCAGGGCTGAGCCCACTGTCTGGGAGGGGTGCTGGGTGTGTTATGTGAAGGACTTGGGGACCAGCAACATTCCTGGGGGTCAGTACGCCCCTCCCTGGCCTGGCCCTTTTCACACTGCTGTAGAGAATACTTGAGACTGGGCAATTTATAAGGAAAAAGTTTGCACTCTTGAGTTTTGGAACAAGCACTCCTTGGGACCAGCCTAGAGCCCAGCAGGGAAGACAGCTGGACAGTGACCCTGGTCACCCTGGGGGGCCCTGCTTGCTTCCTGTCCCAGCAGCTCCTGCAGGGCTAGGGGAGGTGACCAGGAAGAAGGGTGTCGCCAGGCTCTCTGGGCCCTGCTGTCCCCAGCCTTCCTGAGGAAAGAGGCAGCTGGATCCCGAGTTCCTCTCTGCAGAGCCTCAAAGGGCCCCACAGGCTTTCCTCCTTCACATCCTGCAGATGCTCCTACGTCCCATTACCCTGGAAGGACTGTCTCTGGCCTGAGCCCCCAGTTCTGAGGAGCCGCTCACAGCCAGGGCCTGGTCCTGTCTCAGCTTACCCTGGGCCACATGTGGGATCTCCCCTCTGCCACTGTTCAAGTTCTGTCTCCCATTTCCCTGACCTCTCCAGTGACCCCGTGTCCCTGACTCACCCCTCTCATGTCCCCCATGCTTCCCTCTTACCTAGAAATCCCTCCTGCTGTGCTGTGTCCCCAGGGGCTCTGGCAGCCCCAGTCTCCACCTCCTAGCGGGCATCCCCGGCCTTGCCTTTCTCAAGTCATTTCCAAGCAGTAGCCAAAGCAGAAGTGAGTATCGCTAGAGAAGAAATCCCTCCCTGCCTGCGCCCTCTGCCGGCCTCCCACTGCACGTGAGCTCAGGGCTGTCCTGTCCTGTCAGGCCAGTCATCAGGTTTCCTGTCCCCCTCTGGGACAGATGCTGTCCAGCTGTAGCTGGGGCTCCTCCCTTCCCCCACCTGGCTTCCTGCTACTCCCCCTGCCTGGGCCACCCCTCCCACATCCTTCCCAGGGTGCCTTGCCTTCATTCTGCTCAATAACCCAGCACCTTCCCTGGTACACAGTAGGCACTCGATACATCAGAAGGGCTTCCTGTGCTTCAAATGCGGCCTCTCCCAACTCCTCGCCCTCCATCTTTCAGCTGACTGATCCCTCCTCCTTGAAATGACCTTCTCTGGGGTCTTCCACGAGAGGAATTTCTCCTGTGACATCTGGTGACATAGTCTCCCTCTGTCACCCAGGCTGGAGTGCAATGGCGTGATCTCCGCTCACTGCAGCCTCTGCCTCCCAGGTTCAAGCAGTTCTGCCTCAGCCTCCCTGGTTGCTGGGACTATAGGTGCACACCACCACACCTGGCTAATATTGGTATTTTTTGTAGAGACAGGGGTTTCACCATATTGGTCAGGCTGGTCTTGAACTACTGACTTCAGGTGATCTACCCGTCTCCGCCTCCCAAAATCCTGGGAGCACCAGCACCACGCCCAGCCAACTCAAGGAGTCTTATGTGGACTAGTGAGTACTTACTGCACAGCACAGATCAAGGGTAGTGTCCAGAGGAGAAAATATTTCAGGGTCAGATTCCTTGGTCCTCCCCACGGCTGGCTGTAATGGCTGACATCTCCCCTTCTTCCCCACTCTGGGTGGCAATCCTCTCCCCACACCTGCTCCCAGGCAGCCTACTCCAGAAGGCATAGCTGTGTCTCTGTGCCCCAGAGGGAAAGCTGACAGTTCGAATTTTTGTGGGCTTATAATGAAATAAAGAGGGGCCATTTTGGAGAAGGCCATTTTACTTTGGGCGTTTTAATTACATTGCTGAGGCTGGGAACTAATGCCTAGGGCTGGGAAGGACAGTTGTGGAAGTGGAGGCAGAGGGAAGTGGGGTATGGTGGGAAGGGACATTCCTGCAGGCCTCTGCTATAGAGCACCCCAGGTAGGTGGGCGCAGGGCATGGCTGGCGGAAGGTGGGTTAAGCTAGTAAAGCGTCTCGCGGGCATGGGTGCGCAGGTGGCGCAGCAGGTGGGAGTTGCGGCTGAAGCTGCGGCCACATTGCGTGCAAGAGTAGGGCCTGGCGCCCGTGTGCACCAGCTGGTGTCGCAGCAGGTTGCAGCTGCGGCTGAAGCTCTTGCCGCACTCTATGCACTCCTGTGGGGGCTCGGCCTGCTCCTGCCCGGGCTCTGCATGGGTAGCCAGGTGCCGCCGTAGGTGCGCGTTGCGCCGGAAGCTGCGGCCACATGTCTGGCAGCTATAAGGCCGCTCGCCTGTGTGGCTGCGGCGGTGGCGGGCCAGGTTGGAGCTATTGCGGAAGCGGTGGCCGCAGGTGTCGCACGCGTGGGGCTTCTCCCCGGTGTGGATGCGCTGGTGGCGCGCCAGGTGGGCGCTCTGGCTGAAGCCCTCACCGCACTCGCTGCAGCGGCAGGGCTTCTCGCCCGTGTGGCTGCGCTGGTGGCGGGCAAGGTCCTGGGGCTGGCCAAAGCTCTTGCCGCACTGGGTGCAGTGGTGGGGCCGAGGGCCACCGTGGGTCAGCAGGTGGCGGGCCAGGCTGGCCCGGCGCACAAAGCGCTTCCCGCACTGCGGGCAGGCGTACGGCTTCTCGCCGGTGTGCACCCGTTGGTGGCTGACCAGCTGCGAGCTCTGCGTGAAGCTGCGGCCACAAGCCTGGCAGGAGAAGGGCCGCTCGCCCGTGTGCACCCGCCGGTGGGTCACCAGGTGCTCACTGCGCCGGAAGGCTTTGCCGCAGTCGCTGCACACGAAGGGCCTCCGGTCGGAGTCCCGGCGGCGGCTGCCGGAGCCTTCAGAGGACCGGTGGTCCTTGTCCCTGGCATGGATCCGCAGGTGGCGCTTGAGGCTGGAGCGGCGCTGAAAGGTCTGGCCGCAGTGGGAGCACAGGACCTCGGTCGGCGGCGGCGCTTCGGCCTTGCTCTCAGGCGCGCAGGGCGGCTTCTGGTCCTGGGCGTGCGCCAGCAGGTGCTGCACGAGGCTGGTGCGGCGCTGGAAGCCGCGGCCGCACTCGGCGCACAGGAAGGCGGGCTCGGAGGAGTGGGTGAGCAGGTGCTTGCTCAGGTGCGAGCTCTGGCGGAAGCGGTGGTCGCACAGGTGGCAGGCGTGTGGCCGCTCGTCCGTGTGAGTGCGCATGTGCAGCTTGAGGATGGAGCTGCGGCCGAAGCTCTTCCCGCAGCACAGGCACAGGAAGGAGCGCCCGGCCGGGTGCGAGCGCAGCTGGTGCGCTTTTAGGCGGGACAACTGCGCGAAGCTCACCCCGCAGTCCGCGCAGATGAACTGCAACTCCGGATTGGGCTCGGGGGCGCCCTCGGCCACTTTGACCTCCAGTATTTCCCTGCCACCAAGAAGGGACCCATCTTCACTGGGGCCGCTGTCCGCAGCGCCCGGTCCGAGTGTCTGGGAGGGAGGCTCTCCTGGCACCTCAGGACTGTCTGCCTGGGACTCTGCTAAGATGGCAGCGGGCCAGGCAGCCCCTTTGGGGTCTTCTTGTTTAAACTCCTCCTTGTCTGCGGTTCTGCTTCTGAATCCTGGGAAACAAGAGAAAACAAGAGATGGTCAGGCTTATTCCCAGGGCTCCTATCAATTGCCAGAACCAGATTGGCCTGGACATAGAAAGAAACCCAGGATCCTGCAAAGCTGCTCGGTGAGAGGTCAGGGGCAGTGGTCCACTCCTGTAATTCCAGCCCTTTGGGAGACCGAGGCAGGCGGATCACTTGAAGTCAGGAGTGAGTTTGAGACCAGCCTGGGCAACATTGTGAAGCTCCGTTTCTACAAAAAATACAAAAATTAGCGGGGTGTGATGAAACATGCCTGTGGTCCCAGCTACTTGGGAGACTGAGGCGGGAGACTAGCTTGAACCCGGGATGGGGAGGTTGCAGTGAGCCGAGATTGTGCCACTACACTCCAGCCTGGGTAACAGAGCGAGACTCCATCTCAAAACGACAACAAAAAACCTGGTAGGTGGGTAGAGAGGGTGGGGGGCAAGTGAGGGTGCCCCTCTTTATTTTTTTTTTTTTCAGTAAAATACACAAAACATGCAATTTACCACAATAATTAATTTTAAGTGTCCAGTTCCGGCCATCAAGTACATTTACAAGGTTGTGCCAACATCATAAATATCTAGTTCCACGACTGTCTCGATACCCCAAATGGAAACCCCATTAGCAATGATTCCCTTGATTGCCTATTTTAAAAGTTCAAAATTAACAGCCGGCAATTACACCAGACGCAATGGGCCTAAAACTAAAAACTAAAAAGAAAACCTCATCAAAATAACCCCTTACAAAGGCCAGAAAGGCCAGGCACAGTGGTTCACGCCTGTATTCCCAGCACTTTGGGAGGCCAAGGTAGGCGGATCACTTGAGGCCCGAAGTTCCAAGACCAGTCTGGGAAATATAGTGAGACCCCATTGCTACGAAAAGTTAGCTGGGCATGGTGGCACACACCTGTAGTCCCAGCTACTCAGGAGGCTGAGGTGGGAGGATTACCTGAGCCCAGGAGGTCCTGGCTGCAGTGAGCCCTGATTGTGCCACAGTCTGGGTGACAGAGTGACACCCTGTTTCAAAAAACATAAAGGCCAGAAGGTCAGGTGGGGTCTGGAACTTCAGTCAAAGGAAGAGGTGTTGGCCGGGCATGGCGGCTCACGCCTGTAATCTTAGTACTTTGGGAGGTCGAGGTGGGAGGATCACTTGAGCCCAAGAGTTGAGACTAGCCTGGGCGACATAGAGAGACCCTGATCTCTTAAAAAAAAAGGAGAGAGAGAGAGGGAAAGAAAAGTAAAAGAAAAGAAAGACGCATCAGTGATCGGTGGTCACTGCTCCAGGGAAGGTTTGCTTACCCAGGGGGTGTGCAGGCCACACCTTATTCTCTGGCACATCCTCAAAGGTCAGGGACTCCTGTGTCAAGAGCAGAAACCCTTGGTGAGTGAGGAACATGCCTCAGGAACCTGTGGGGAATTAAACGCTTTGCAGGATTGAATCGGGGCAGATGCAGATTAGCTAAAGCTGCAACGGCAGACACGTTCCTGGGGCTTGAGAACTCCCTGGGGTGTGGCCCAGCTCACCAGCACGGCCACCAGCTCCTGATCTCGGGAAGTCTCCTCTGGCCATGGCGAGGGGCCCTGGGGACCTGACAGCATTGGGGAAGAGGGGAGGAAGCACGTTAGAAGGCAGCCCTGCCTGCCACATGGCTGCAAGCACATGCACCCCATCATCGAGGCCCTGTGAAGGCGTCCTGGCACGCTCCTGTCCCCGCCACCTGTGGAGGCCCCACTTCTCACCCCACCCCAGACATCCAGGCAGGCCCCTCCCCTAACATCCAGTCCTTGGCCTTCTAGGGCACAAGCTCCTCACTGCTTTCTTGGAGGGACTGGAATGTCTTCTGGGGCCCCGGGCTGGGCAGCTGCCTTGAACTTGAAGGAAGTCTCCACTGTCCCAGCTCAGCAGGCTTGGCAGGCTCTGACAGGGGTCGGGGAGGCTCATCCGACAGGCCCAGCACTGGAGGCTCTTCTGTGGGCACTTCCTTCTTGGGGCTGTGGCTGGGGACCTGGGAAACACACCCCTGTTCCTCCAAGGTGATGTCTGCACGGGGACAGCTCTTGCCAGCATTACAACTAAAATCCTGCTCAAAACACATTCAAGTTAAGCCACTCCGGGGTGGCAAACTGTGTCCTACCAACTCTGAGGGGACATGGGACAGAGACGGGGTGAGAGTCAGACAGGGGAGGCGTTAGGAGGTGAAGAAGTAATGGTCAGGTGAGGGAAAGTGGCGTTTCCAGAGATTCCTCACTGCGGGGATCAAATCCCCGTCATTCCCACGCTGCTCAGCCCGCTGCCCCGGCCCTCTCACCAGTGGCCCCGAGTGGCTGGGCTCCTGGTGGACGCCCTCCAGCAACAGTACCACCTCCTCCCCGTCCCTGAGCGGCTGCCCCTGCAGGCGGCCCAGGAGGTGTGGCGGCAGCACACTCAGGAACTGCTCCAGCACAAGCAGCTCCAGGATCTGCTTCTTGGTGTGCAGAGCCGGCCGCAGCCAGTGGCCGCAGAGCTCCCGGAGCCGGCTCAGGGATGCCCTCGGCCCCATGTCCTCCTGATACTGGAAGCATCTGAATAGCTGATGAGCCACCTCGGGCCTCAGCCTGGACTCTGGCCGCCTGGGGTCCTCTGGGCCAGTAGCCTCCTCCTCCTCCACTTTGACTTCCCCCAGCTGCTCCTGCTCCAGGGCAGCTGGGACTGATTCTTCAAGCATCCTTCACTGTGGGGATGCCTCCCTGCAGCGGGCCCCGCTCTTGGGTCTCTCTCCTCCTCTCTTCCCACACCTGCAGAGCTGAACACCCTGGGTTAGGATCTACTGCAAGGAAGCTGGCCCTATGCATCCATCATCGATGTAAAAAGACACCCAATACACAGACCCAGGGGAAGTGTTTTTCTCACTGGGTAAGCATCCCTGAAAGAGAAACAACCTGTCCTTCCCTTCTTCCTGATGTAGCCACTGGGAGAATCAAGATGGATCCTGGCCAAAAATATTTGTTTTTTTAAAGTTTTTTTTTTTTTTTTTGAGACGGAGTTTTGCTCTTGTTACCCAGGCTGGAGTGCAATGGTGCACTCAGCTCACTGCAACCTCTGCCTCCCAGGTTTAAGCAATTCTCCTGTCTCAGCCTCCTGAGTAGCTGAAATTACAGGCATACGCCACCACGCCCGGCTAATTTTATATTTTTAGTAGAGACAGGGTTTCACCATGTTGGTCAGGCTGGTCTTGAACTCCCAACCTCAGGTGATCTGCCTGCCTCAGCCTCCCAAACTGTTGGGATTACACACATGAGCCACTACGCTGGCTTTTTTTTTTTTGAGATGGAGTCTCACTCTATCACCTAGGCTGGAGTGCAGTGGCACAATCTCAGCCCGCTGCAGCCTCCACCTCCCAGGTTCAAGTGATTCTCGTCCCTCAGCTGCCTGAATAGCTAGGATTACAGGCCTGTGCCACCACACCTGGCTAATTTTTGCATTATTAGTAGAGATGAGGATTTCACCATTTTGGCCGGGCTGGTCTTGAACATCCGAACTCAAGTGATTGGCCTGCCTCAGCTTCCAAAAGTGCTGGGATTAAGGCATGACCCATGAGGCCAAACCTTTTTTAAACGTTTAATTTAATTAAGTGATTTATTTAGACCGGTTCTCACTCTGTCACCCAGGCTGGAGTACAGTGGCGCGATCACGGCTCACTGCAGCCTTGACCTCCTGGGCTCAAGTGATCCTCCTGCCTCAGCCTCCCAAAGTGCTGGGATTACAGGCATGAGACACTGTGCCTAGCCCAAAAATGCCTAATCTCAATCCAACGGGGCCTTTATTTTTATTTATTTATTTATTTGAGATGGAGTTTTGCTCTTGTTGCCCAGGCTGAAGTGCAATGGCACGATCTCGGCCCACTGCAACCTCCGCCTCCCAAGTTCCAGTGATTCACAGCCCTCAGCCTCCTGAGTAGCTGGGATCACAGGCGCGCGCCACCACCAGCTAATCTTTTTATTTTTAGTAGACATGGGGTTTCACCATGTTGTCCAGGCTGGTCTCAGACTCTTGACTTCAGGTGATCCACCTGCTTCGGCCTCCCAAAGTGCTGAACCACCACGCCCCGGCCTAATGTGGCCTTTAGACCTAACTTTCAATGCATAGAGCCTTGCCCGGAATAGGCAACAAGTCAGACCATCTCTCAAAGAAACTGACCTGAGTTACTACTCAGTGTCATAAAAAGCAAGTGCCTGTAGGTGGCGCTGTTGGAGAGGAGCCCAAAGAGCACTCACAGCCAAGAACCTTGATTGCACCCTCATTCTTTTTTTTTTTTTTTTTTTTTTTTTTTTTTTTTGAGATGGAGTTTCGCTCTTGTTACCCAGGCTGGAGTGCAATGGCACGATCTCGGCTCACCGCAACCTCCGCCCCCTGGGTTCAGGCAATTCTCCTGCCTCAGCCTCCTGAGTAGCTGGGATTACAGGCACGCGCCACCATGCCCAGCTAATTTTTTGTATTTTTAGTAGAGACGGGGGTTCACCATGTTGACCAGGATGGTCTTGATCTCTTGACCTCGTGATCCACCCGCCTCGGCCTCCCAAAGTGTTGGGATTACAGGCATGAGCCACTGCGCCCGGCCACCATTCATATTTCTTAAAGGCTCTAAAAGATGTCCTGGGTCCAGTTGGAAAATTCTGAGTATGGTCGGGACACTACATGATAATAGAATGACTACTCATTTCGGAGGTGAGCGTCCAGTCTTGTAACACATAGGAAATGGCTGCGTTCTCAGAAGATGCTGAAGAGTTTGGAGAAGGGGCCTGAAGTCTCAGCCACCTCAATGGATCGACAATGAGATACATATATGAATGTTCCTTTCACTCCTCTTTCAAGTTCTCTGGATATTTTCGAATTTTCAGAATAAAAGGTTGGGGTGCTGGGATCACGCCTGTTATCCCAGCACTTTGGGAGGCTGAGGCAGGAGGATCCCTTGAGCCTCAAGAATTCAAGCCCAGCCTGGGCAACATGGCAAGATCCCCATCTATAAAAAAAAATTTAGGGAGCTGTGGTGGCTCCGGCCAGTTGTCCTGGTGCTTGAGGAGGCGAGGCTATGAGTTCAAGGCTAACCTGAGCAACATAACAAGCTCTCATTGACTAACAACAACAAAAAATTTAGGCTGGGCACGGTGGCTCACGCCTATAATACCAGCACTTTGGGAGGCCGAGGCGGGTAGATCACGAGGTCAAGAGATTGAGACCAAGTCGCGGTGGTGTGCACCTGTAGTCCCAGCTACTCGGGAGGCTGAGGTGGGAGGACTGCTTGCGCCCAGGAGGTTGAGGCGGCAGTGAGCTGTGACTGCAACACTGCACTCCAGCCCCGGTGACAGTGCAATCCCCCATCTCAAAAAATAAAAAATAAGTCATCTGTATAGCCATCAGGGGGCACTGGGTGGGGGTACTGACAGCCTCCTCCTGCCCCACCTCCCTGTGGGGCTTCTCTTCCTGGTCCGGTAGCCGAGTGCTACCCATGGGGAACCTCTGAAATTTCAGCCCCACCTGCAATTCAGCCCAGCTCAACTAATTGAGGCTGGAAGACAAGCTTTTCTGAGCAGAGCAGGCTCATATTTTTGTTAGATCTCTCAGGTACTTTTACATTTTCTTTCAGGCAGGGGTCATTTATAAATATGGAAACCCATGTCTCAGAGGGTTCCTGCCCTCTGCTTTCTGCCCTTCCTGTTCTCCAGCCTCAGGGCTACAAATGAAGCTCTCCTAGAGCCTCCTACCCTCCACTGCCATTGGGCACCCCAGGCAGGGGGATGGGAAGAAAGCCTGAAACTCCCGCCACCTGGATGGCACAGGGCAGTGTCCAGCACCCAGTGGCTGGCATACAGTAGGCGTCCATGAGCATGAGCTGGTACTGTTCTCATTGCTGCTGATTACCACACCAGGCACCACAGCAGTGACTCACCGTCCTGTTGACCCATTCTATAGCTGAGGACACCAAGGCTCAGCAAAAAGATAACCCAGTGGCTGGGTGCAGTGGCTCATCCCTGTAATCCCAGCACTCTGGGAGGCCGAGGTGGGTGAATCGCCTGAGGTCGGGAGTTCGAGACTAGACTGACCAATATGATGAAACCCTGTCTCTACTAAAATTACAAAAATTAGCTGAGCGTGGTGGCATGTGTCTGTGGTGCCCAGCTGCTCAGGAGGCTGAGAGGCCGGAGAATTGCTTGAACCTGGGAGGCAAGGTTGCAGTGAGCTGAGATCGAGCCACTACACTCCAGCCTGGGTGACACAGCGAGACTCCATCTCAAAAAAAAAAAAAAAAAAAGTAACCCAGTCTTGGGCAGCCTCTCCCTGGTAATGATGGCCTAGTCAGAGCCTTGGACAGTTCGGTGAACCCCCTTAATATGAGCCTGAGGGTTCTCTGAACCTCCTTCTCAAGTGGGGTGTGGGGCGTAGTACACAATGCGGGGATTTTAAGCCAGCCGATGAGGAGGGACGTGATGCCAGAACATGACCCATCTCTCCCAACTTCCCCCCAACGTACAGTATCTTCCAAGCTCCCCCACCCCAGAATCCCCAGAATCTCCCAACCTCGGCCACTACGGAAAAATGGAACAGTGGAAGTTCCCTGTCCCAGTCTCAGCTCATCCAGGGGTTGAGGGGTTTCTTAGTGTTAACCCTTAAGCTCTCGGCTTGGGAGCCGGATGGGGACAGGGTAAATAAAGAATCCGGATTTCAACCACTGCATGTGTGAGAGTGTCACCATCCCCAAGCCGGAACTACACTTTCCTGCCCTTTGGCACCCACTCCAGGCACCCACCCCACCCCACCCCGTCTCTCCCCAGCCAGGACAATGCTGTGCCCCAATCACAGATGAGTGTACTTCTCACCCTGGCCTTTGGCACCCACTCCAGGCACCCACCCCACCCCACCCCGTCTCTCCCCAGCCAGGACAATGCTGTGCCCCAATCACAGATGAGTGTACTTCTCACCCTGGCCTGGGAGTAGGAGCTGTGTCTAGTTCAATGGGTGTTCAGCCAGCACTTGAAATGACTTCAGCATCTGTTAGCAGAAATTAGGAAGTGGCAATGATTCTGGCCATCTCGAAGGAAAGTGTGTAGCAACGTCTAGCACAGAAACGGTCAGTGGCAAATGATCAGAAAAATGGCGTGAGGCCGGGTATGGTGGCTCATGCCTACAATCCCAGCATTTTGGGTGGCCAAGGCAGAAGGTTCACTTGAACCTGAAGGGTCGAAGCTGCAGTGAGCCATGTTCGCGCCACTGCACACCAGCCTGGGTAAAAGGGGAAGACCCTGTCTCAAAAACCAATAACAGAAAAGGTGGAGTTGGGGGAGAGGATGGGATTGTGTTTGAGTGCTTTTTAGTAGCATGCACGAAATAACAAGAGAACCAATCACTGCTCATCCGTTGCCCAGCAGGAGCAGTGGGCAGGTACTGAGTGTCGGGCGCTTAGGCTGGTGTCATCCCGGTCCAGCCCGTGGACCAAACAATCATTTCTCCCTCTGCCAAATGCAAAGACCAATCTTTGCCCTTGGTGACTTGCTCAGGGTCACACCAGATGGAGCCAAGGATTTGCTTTAGGCTGAGAATGTGGATCTAGAACACAGGGCCAAAGCTCTGAAACAGAAAAGCAACCGGTGTCGGTCCCACTCGGTGCCATTTTCCTAGCCTCAGCCAAAATAGCACAGCGAGAACTAGAAAAAATAAGAGGATTGCAAATTCCAGCCCTGAGGCCCAGCCACACTGGGAGGCCGGAATCTCCAGGTGAGGTCCCTCTAAAAGCTTTCAAAGAGGTGGAATTTGAGACAAGTTGGCTTCAGAGAGTCTCCCTCCCCCCAGATCTCCAGGACAAAAGCTCTGTTAATATGCACCACTGTCGGGGGTAGGCTGGGTAGGAAGGCAGGGGAGGCTCTACAGCCACCATCCAACATTTGACCAACTTAATCTGGAGCCCGGGGTGCAGATGCCGCCACGAGACCCACCCAGATCACATGAGTGCCCAGAGCTGGGGAAGGGGACAAAGGTGGGGTCCCCGGCGGGAACACTCCCCTTCTCCCTGGACACAGTTGGCAGCTGCCCGACTTGCTGCTTGCTGGTTGGCTTCCCTCCACGTGCTGGGCTGAGCGGGCAAGGCCCATCAGTCCACCTGGGAGCACGTGAAGCCTGCCTTCTTCAGTGTCACAGGAAGTCCTGCGATCTCCCTCCTCCCCGAAGCCCCCATCGCGACAGGTCCACCAAGCTGGCTGGCACAAGGTTCCCCAGCAGACCCTCTACATCCTCCCAAGACTCTTCCAGTCCCCGCCCAGCACCAAGGCCTGGAGCTTCCCCTGCTCTCTTCAAGCTGCTGTGAGCTCCTAGCACCCGTCCTGGCAGCCTGCACCCCGGCTTCCCTCCAACTCACCACTCAGGGTCCCCACTACAGAGGCAGAGATGCTGGGAGGTTCTCTGAGGGTTCCAGGGCCACAGTCGGCCTCCACCAGCCTGGGGAAGGGCTCTGGGAAAATGGAACAGGAAGTTCCCTGCCCTAGTCCCATCCCATCCAGGTGATGAGGGGCTTCCTAGAGTTAACCCTTAAGCTCCCAGTTTGGGAGTGGGATGGGAAGAGGGCGGGGCCAGAAACAGGAAGACAAAGTGAGAAATCCAGATTTCAATCCCAGAATGTGTGAGAGTGTAACCACCCCCAAGCCAGAGCTACCACCTCCCAAATCAAGACTGGCCTGGTGCCCCTTGGGGGTCTGCCAATCTTTCTTTTGGGCTAAGAGCTAAGAGCCATTTTTAAATGCCCACGGCGTGCCGGCTTCTTTGCTAGACTTTTCATTCACGTGACTACTCTACAATGGCCTGCTGTGTGCCAGGCACCGTTACAAAGCAGGCGCTGGGGACCGAGAGAAACGGAAGGAATGAGGCCCTGCCCTCAGGGGCTTACGTTCCAGGGCACAGGAGCAGCGACCTGTGCTAGAAGATGGAACAGGAGGATGTGATGGGGCCGAGGTGCTCCATCTACACGGTCACCTAAAGTCCTCCCGAGTCCTGCCAGGCGGCTTTCTTCCCAACTTTCCCGATGACGAAGCAGTGGCTCCCCGGGAGGGAAGTGGCCACACCAACAGCGTTTGAACCCAAACTGACTCCCTGTGCTTAAGGTGCCTTCTGGGTCGTGCCCTTGGCGGCAGCTGGTGCCTCCCTGAGCGTTCAGAGCCCCCGGGGAGCCGGGACCACCTCTCCAGTGTCGGCCGGCCCTGGACCTAGACCCCTCGGTGCGTCGGGGCCAGGATCTCCTGACTGGCTCATCTGCCGGGTCTTTGTTTTCCTGC